ATCGGGTCGCGATTTTGAGAAGTGGAGATATCAAAATTACCTAATTTTAGCCTGGTTGTATCAAACTATCGCTTAAGTTTGTAAAAGAGTGGCTTGCAAAAAGTTCCCACAGCTCTGAGCAAAAAGGGTCTGACTTGCCCTGACTCAATCTACGTCCTTTCTTTGCATGTCTTTTCGCAACCCCTCTCTCAAAATCCTCTACAACTTCCTACGTAGCATGTGCGTTTGCACACCGCACACATATGGAAAAAAGGTGGATGAAGCCTATCGACTTTCCTAAACTAATTGGGTTTTTACTTTTCTTTGTTTCTAGTGCATAGTATGCAGTCACACATGTCGTGGTAAGCAGTACTAAAATGGTCACTATTCTGAAATGCTTCTCATGGCATTTTCTGCCGTGCACAATTTCTTTAGATAAGAAGTCTATTTCATAGGAGAGAACCAAATGGGAAGCGTGAGAAGAGTGGAAAAGTGATCATAATACTTACCAGAAGCAACAAACTGGTCAATGACGCACTGAGCATTGTTCGCGAAATCTCCAAACTGAGCTTCCCAAATGACCAAAGAGTTAGGATCAACCATGGAGTAACCTAAATGCGTTGCTCATACCCATAAACGAACGAAAGTATGAAATTATTAGAGGAGATATTGCAGAGAAAGCGATAGCAAAAACCGTAGCAAGAAGTTTCTTTAAAAACCTACCGAGTTCGAACCCGAGAACAGCATACTCAGACAATGATGAGTTACAAACAGTATACTCTGCTTGTCCCTCCTTCAAATCATTCAATGGATTGTAGACCTATAAAATCAATGAAGTATTCTTAGAACTCATACAAACAAAAAACACATGCAATGTCAACCTCTGCCATGATAAATGCCATACAGACATGACTTTTACAGCTAAACTCAGTGGCCCCTATCACTCACTTTCCTATCGACTGTCTGATCATGCAGTACATGATGTCTGTGCGAGAATGTTCCACGTTCCACATCTTGTCCGCTGAGTCGGACATGGGTGCCTTCTTTGAGCAGTGATCCAAATGCTAGTGCTTCACCACAAGCCCAATCCAGCTGAAAATGAGATGTATGAGAATACATTGCTCACAGACTGCAGAAAATACATGAGATCGGCCACAAAGCGCCTATAAAATCACATAAATGTGATCTACTGGCAATTATTATACCGGTGTGCA